CTGGTGAGTCGGTACAGTCAGCAGCTGCCAACACACCAGGCTCAACATCCCTGGTGAGTCGGTACAGTCAGCAGCTGCCAACACACCAGGCTCAACATCCCTGGTGAGTCGCTACGGTCAGCAGCTGACAACACACCAGGCTCAACATCCCTGGTGAGTCGCTACGGTCAGCAGCTGCCAACGCCAAATCCTGGGCGGCGGTTAACTAACCCGGAAAACTCAGCTTGTCTGAGCCTGGGCATGTGGAACCCCGGGTGGATGAAATTCCACCAAAAGGGTCTTTGGACCTTCCACTGCAACCAGGACCATCTCCAGTCGTCTTGACTACGTCTTGCCACTGGGTACAGATGGGGCTGGTCGAGAGAGTGAGGTTGATGCTGCGCAAATCACCCTCACTTAAATCCAAGTTCTCTGCGCAAGTCATGGCACTTTTTACCATCGTCATTATCCAAGTCCTGTGGCGATGGGTGAGCGACGAAGCAGCAGGCACGGATATGCTGGAAGCTGTAGTCGCAAACCTCCACGCAGGCGGCTCAGGATATTGGTCGTTCTCTCACTGGACCGAAGCAGCAGTGAAGTCCGGCAGCACCCTGAGTGACTGAGCAGCCCTATTCAAGATCACACTGCTCACCTCCATAGTTAGGAAAGAGTTAGAAAAGGTACCCTAAACATTGCCTGCTTCAAAACATCCTGGCCAGTCTACCGCAGCTGGTGGGATCCCATACTTGCGGTCGAAAACAGACCAAAGTGATACCACGCACTGTTGGCACCTGGAATGTGTGCACTTTGCTGAACACATCTGGATCAAAAAGATCTGAGAGACGCACCACTCTCGTGGGCAGAGAGCTAGCCAGATATAATGTGGAAGTTGATGCCCTTAGTGAGACCCAACTGGCCAATACTGGACAGGTGACTGAAGTGGGTGCAGGTTACACATTCTTCTGAAGCGGACGATGCCAGGAGGAGAGACGTGATGCTGGTGTTGGTTTTGCAGTAAAAAACCACCTGGTCAACCAACTGGCAAGCCAAACCAAGGATATAAATGACCATTTAATGACCTTAAAGCTCCACCTATCAGGTAAAAAGGAGGCCACCATCATCAGTGCCTATGCCCCTACCATGACCAACTCTGACGAGATCAAAACCAAGTTTAATAATGACCTGGAAGTCATTATTGCTGCCACAGCCAGCTCTTGGAAGTGACCATCAATCATGGAATGGAATCATAGGTGCACATGACATTGGGAAATGTAACAGCAACGGCCTTCTGCTGCTGAAAACATGCTCTGAATTTGACCTGCTCATCACCAACACGATATTCCAACTACCAAAGCGCAAAAAACTCATGGATGCATCCTCGTTCACACCACTGGCACTTGATTGACTACGTCATCGTGAGGAGGAGCGACCGGCACGATGTCAGGGTGACCAAGGCAATGTGTGGTGCTGAATGTTGGACTGACCATCGTCTCATCATCTCCAAACTTAACGTCCGGATTAAGCCTATCAGACGCACACAAGGAAAAAGACGTGTAAAGCGTCTTAACATCACTCGCCTACAAGAGGAACACATACAGACGCTGAGGCAGACTGGACTGCTCTCAAGACCGTGTTGCATTCTACAGCCCTTGAATCACTTGGTGTTCCCATACGTACACATCAAGATTGGTTTGATGAGAACGATGCAGAAATCCAAGCACTCCTTGACGAAAAACATCGCCTGCATAAAGCATATCTTAATGACAGCAGCTCAAGCTTAAAGAAAACTGCCTTCCTCAACATTCGCAGGGTTGTCCAGCGGAGACTCAGAGTCATGCAAGACACCTGGCTGTGTGCAAAAGCTGAGGCGATTCAGTCCTACGCTGACAGTAACAACACCAAGTGCCTCTATGATGCACTCAAGCAGGTCTATGGTCCGCAACACTCAGGAACTTCACCTATACCTGAATGCAGACGGAACAACACTCCTCACAGAGAAGGACAAAATACTTGCAAGGTGGGCTGAACACTTCAGCGCAGTCCTCAATCAGCCATCGTGCATGAATGAGGAGGTTATTGCGAGACTGCCTCAAGTTGAAATAAACCAGTCCCTTGCTGTTCTACCATCCATTGAGGAAACCAGCAAAGCCATAAGCCTCCTCTCATCAGGCAAAGCTCCAGGATCTGATGCCATTCCAGCAGAAATCTACAAGGCTGAAGGGAATCGCTTAGTCGACAAACTGACCGACCTCTTCCAGTCTCTGTGGAAATTAGAAACCGTTCCCCAGGAGTTCAAGGATGCCTCTAATCCATATATATAAGAGGAAAGGCAATCCACAGGCCTGCACCAACCATAGAGGCATCTCCATACTATCAATCACTGGCAAAATCTTGGCAAGAATCCTTCTGAACCGCCTAATTGTCCACCTAGACCAGGATCTGCTACCTGAGAGTCAGTGTGGTTTCAGAAAAGACCGCGGAACCACTGACATGATATTTAATGCCCGGTAGTTACAGGAGAAATGCCAAGAACAAAATGCTGATCTTTATATGGCTTTCGTTGATCTAACAAAAACATTAGACACAGTCAACCAGGAAGGCCTATGGAAGATTATGGCCAAGTATGGGTATCCAGACAAGTTCATTGGCATCGTGCGCAAACTCCATGATGGCATGATGGCCAGCGTCAGAGACCAGCAAGAACTCTCTGATCCATTCCCAATCACAAACGGGGTGAAGCAAGGCTGCGTTTTAGCACCAACGCTCTTCAGCATGGTGTCATTCCAGAACCACAACACTGGGATTAACTTCATCTACCGTTTTGACGGTGGGCTATTCAATCTGCGGAGGATGCAAGCCAAAACTAGAGTGGAGGAAGTCACTGTTCGAGAACTTTTGTTTGCTGATGACTGTGCTCTGGCTGCTGGCTCAAATAAAGATCTACAGGACAGTATGGACCACTTCTCCGCAGCTTGTAACAACTTCAGCCTAACAATCAGCACACAGAAGACTGAAGTCTTATACCAACCTGCTCCTGGGAAACCCTACACTGAGCCCACCATCTTTGTGAATGGGAAAAAACTTTCAGCCGTTGACAAGTTTACTTACCTTGGTAGTACTCTGTGCACATAGATGATGAAGTTAACATCAGGATTGTCAAGGCCAGTGCAGCCTTTGGACATATACGTGACTCGGTATGGGAAAGGACTGGCATCAAGCAGGAGACAAAACTGAAGGTCTACCTGGTTGTCTTACCAACTCTTCCGTATTGGTGCCAAGCCTGGACAGTCTACCAGCGCCATGCCAAGAAATTGAACCATCTTCACTTGAGCTGTCTGAGGAAACTGTTGAGGATCTAGTGGCAAGACAGAATCCCTGACACGGAAGTCCTCAGCAAGGCCAATATCCCCAGCATCCACACCTTGCTTGCAAAGGAACCGCTTAAATGGGCTGGGCACGTGACCAGAATTCCCTGCGCGAGACTGCCAAAACAAGTCTTCTTTGGCGAGCTGAAGAATGGCAAGTGAGCGCAAGGTGGCCCCAAAAAGCGCTACAAGGATACCCTTAAAGCTTCCTTAAAGAGCTTTGGATTCGACCTGAAAAGCTGAGAACCCCTAGTTCAGGACAGACCTGCCTGGAGAAGAAAGTACAGGATGGTGTAGTCCTCTGTGAGAGTAGGAGAAGCTCCTGTGCAATCTTGAAGAGGCAGCAGCGCAAATCTACCAAGGAAGGACTTGTGGCTGCACCTCAGAGCTCTACATCCTCCCTGACCTGTCCAGTGTGCCACAGGGAATTCCGGGCTCGGATTGGCCTCTTCAGCCATCTGCGCACTCAACAAAACCCAACAAAATGACAAACGTGCCATGGTCATCATCAACTTGATGGACGAACAAGAGAGAGAGATGTTTTGGTTCTTTCGGTTAAGTCACGTCTAAAGATAAAATAATAAATTAAATAATAGCATATTATGTATGTTTAACTTTTTTCAATGGTGGCATTCTTTAAACATCGTAAATGCGGGTTGTAAGTCGGAAGATCGTACACACAAATTATATGCACTCAAAAGATGGACTTTAAAAACAAAAAATCCTGACAAATAAACACAGTAACAGACAAGCTCGCACTTTCTCGATTATAGTATAATGGTGATGATGTTATAATTGATTGGCAACGGGCCCATCCTTCAATATCATTCGTGATTTTAGGTTAATCAAAATCTGTTTGTCGTGTCAATTTTAAACAGAGTATTGGACAACTGCCGCGCTCATTAAAACAACCGAGATCTTCCTGCCAGACCTGTTCGTGACCGGAAAAAAAGTAATTGCACAAGACACCCAACCCACCAAGTTTAAACGCACATACACCGCAATTCCGAAATATTACTCAATTCACCTTTCTTAAGGTCAAGTGCAGACATCATCATGTTAAAACAAAAATTTATCCTGGTGAAAGTATTTTGTAATACCCTTCATACATGCAGATGCTCTTTAACAATACGTAAACACGTCATATTTCGGACATTGTAAACACGTTGTAAGTCTTTTGTAATCAATGTCATAACAGCTGTGATTATGAATCTCTCTCTAGCTTAAATCATCAAACCAAGTGTGTGTTGCTCCCACGTTCCAGCAGACCTCAACATTCGCATTTACGTAGCAAACACCGTTAGTGCCCCCCCCCCCCCCGCCATTCGAAACAGCAAACCGCTTGAGTTGCCGTTGAAATCAACTTAAAGTGTGACCATGAAAACGCCTACGACGTTACGTGTTTTGGAGCTAGCATTGTGAGCTGAGTTACAAACACAAAATGAAATATTTGTGCACGATCAAATATATTTGCATTTTGGCAATATATTTTTTTACCTCGTTTTGTAAAAAAAAAAAATTCGCTCCGCCTCTTTGTCTTGCGGCTATCTCGGAATTGGTCGTTAAACGTGTTGATCGGGAGTGATCGAAAGCGGAAGGAGGGGGACATTGCGACATGCTTTGAGGACATGGACTATATATGGTGGCGTGTATTACGTGACACTCTCAATATCAATGCAGGGGTCGACACACCAGCAGCCTTAGTTGCCGTTGAAATCGACAAAGTGTGACCATGAAATCACCTGTGAAGTTACGTGTTTTGTGGCTCGCATTGTTCATATTCGGTATCTATAACTTTCACTGGATCTTCTCTGGCAACACGTGTAACAATGCATTATCTACTCGGGCAGACCATGCCACAACGAAAAAGCAAAGGATGCATGAACCTTTAGCCGAACAGCTGGATGAAATTGAGAGCATGTTGGGGAAGCTAATCGAAGGTATGTTACAATGTTAATGCGATTTACCTGTCTTTTTTGCACATATATGAATGAATGTCTGCGTGTCTTGCACATATTCCGTGGTCTGCGCAGGATATATATTCAGACTTGACTTCCCATAAAATGTAAAATTGAAGAAAAAAAAATGTTGCTTTAACATGTTTTGATTTAAAGCTTTCGTGACTGCAGGGATTCATATTCTTGGTTCTTTCGGTAAAGTCACGTAGAAGGGAAATAACATGTTATTGTATGACCTTCTTATGCCCTTCGTTGCGCAAGGTTGTACGATATTTTGCGAACAGTTGCCGCTGAGAGCGTTTCTTTTTGTCTTTTTTGCACTCCTCTGAGCTCCCGTGCCCACCCCCCCCCCCGTGCCAGATTATCCTAGGAGCACAAGTAGGTGCATATGTCGTAGCTACGGGCCCCGCACTTTCAAGGGCCCCGCGCTAAATGCTTTCAAGCTATCAATTCTGGTTCAGTGGATCTGTACTTGCTCAATTACTATAGTACTATACAACTTTTATGAACGACTGGGTGTTTGAGGTTAACGATTTGTCGTATTATCTGACTATATCAAATGGAAAAATACAATAACTTTATGCAAGTATTTTTTTTTTATTTAGGGCCTCTTTATAACATATGTTACACGCCCACACTAGTTTAATCCGGCACTGGTGCCCCCCCCCTCCGCCCGTCTACCGTTCTGCTGTAATGCTCACCGAAGCCGACTCCATCGAGGGCGATAAAGGGCACGGGAAATTAAGATTGATTTGATGACGTGTTCGAGTTTTCAGAGCGCTGATATGTGGATTCGTTTTGAATACGGTATTGCGTGTGCCACGAAATGCTATATTCTGATTCCATCTGTGCTGTGTCTATATTGTCCAATATCCAGGTTTTTTTTGGGGGGGGGGGGGGGTTAGATCGCGTAAATATATAATTGTGTCGTTAAACCCGCCACCACCCGACACAGACAATTAGTATGGTTTGTCACGTAACAGAACGTGCCAATTCGTCACTAGTACAGCTTACCGGTTTGTTGGAGAGCCAAGCCACAACATTTGCAATCTGAGTACGACGTTTCGCCAGTAATTACAATTAGCTTCATCAGGCGACAGCCAGCTAGCTATATCTACAGTTGTTTCGCCAGAGCGTAGAAGCTGCGGCGACGTTGTGAACAAACGGATGAATGCACCTTGATTCGTGACGATCGAGCAGTGATCTCATTGATGTCGTGGTGTCAGCTAATTAAAAGCAGTGACATTCAATGGCCTTTCTTGGTTGAACGATTATAAAATCCGCATGTCTAGTCGAATACCTTCACAAAAATTTGCGACAATTATTTAGAGACGCTGCACTGGGAGTGGTGCACAAGCTCGATTAACGCAAACACACTCATCACCAACACTGCGCTCTCAAATATATCATAGGTGACGTTACGGGCAAAGGGCCTTCTTCAGAGCACAGAGATAGGCCAGAGAAACAAGGAGGATAATCAGAGTTGGAGACAGCACTTTACCACAATGGAACCTGATGGATTTTTTTTTATATATATGCAGTATAAAAATGTGAATGGCTGATGGTTTATATCATCTCTGCGATACAACACCCGCGTGTATGTTCCCGTATGTATGTCACAGCGTAATGTGGGTGTTTCAGTGGGCACTCTGTGTCGGTTAGGGCACATGCTGCGTGCTCTAGACCAGTGGTTCTTAACCTCTACTGCAGCCTTGCACCCTTTGGTTCTCAATCGGTAAATAATTATCATGTTAATACATGCATAGGTTTGATGAAACAAAGTAGTTGCATTCTTGATTTGAAGCTTTTGTGACTGCAGGAATCCATACTCTTTGGTTCTTTCGGTAAAGTCACGTAGGTAGAAAAATAAAATAAAAAAATAATATTTCACGACGTTTCGATCGCAACACAAGCTGTCGTCCTCAGGCGGAAAAAATAATCCAGCAGTGGAACTGCTGAACCAGCGAGAGAGCTTTTACAACAAGGTTATCATATATAACCTTGCCATAACCTTGTTATAACCTTGTTGTAACAACAAGGTTACGTGAACAACAAGGTTATCATATATAACCTTGTTGTAAAACTATTTTGGTTATCAAATATAACCTTGTTGTAAAACTATGTTGGTTATCATTTATAACCTTGTTGTAACTGCTGGATTATTTTATTCCGCCTGAGGATGACCGCTTGTGTTGCGATCGAAACGTCGTGATATATTATTTTTTATTTTATTTTCATACCGACGTGACTTTACCGAAAGAACCAACGAGTATGGATAACAATGCCCTTATATGGCGAATGAGATATTTCTAACTTGATTTGGAGTTTTCGTGACTGCAGGAATTACGTCCTATGCTATTGTTTAATTTATTTTTTCTTTCTACGTGACTTTACCGAAAGAACCAACGAAAGATATTTCTAGTTTGTGGAATGAGGGCCTCTCAACGCCATTCGTAGCAGTCGTTGTCAAGCTGTCATTGGTCTGTCATTCAACAATGCACTCAGCCTGTTGTTATTCTTTTTTTTTGCAGATAAGAAGAAACCAATTTGCTCCGGCAATTCGTGGATCTCCCGGCCGGACACGGTGATTTTTTCAGAATGGGGGAAAGAGTTAACTCTCCGCGAGAAGCGCAAAGTCTGTGCCGGCTTCCTCGACTACGGCTACAATATATACTTAAGTGACCGCTTGCCTCTAGACAGAGATATCCCAGACTACCGACCACAAGGGTGAGGAAAAAAAATCGACGTCGTGGTGTACGTAGATAATGATCATTCAACAGAATTCTAATGAACGATTCTCGCTGTCTGTCGAGCAGTGCTTCTCAAGTTTGTTTGACTACTGAAATATCCCCTTGTTGAATTTTGTTTCAAACGAGTACCCCCCCCCCCCCCCTTGCCTGACCCAACATAGTTCTAAGAAATGAATGTATGAATAACGAGCATCAACATTTTAACCAATTGCCCATTTTGTGAGGTATCCTAACTCGACCGGTAACTGCGAGCAAAAACAACAAATAATTCAACGGACGCTCTGCATTGCGTGGCGTAATTTGTTGTCGCTCGTTGGTAACTCTTGAAACCAACACTGTTGACCATCTATGAGTTTATGAAGTTATTTTATATAGTTCTCGGCTACAATATGGATTTATAATGTTGTTTTGTATTGGCAGATTCATACGCGATTTTTCATCAATAACTCTCACGTACGATATAATTTCACACAGTTATCATCTCGCATAACCCCCCTGGCACATTGCCACGTAGCCCCAGGGTAACCACGGTTGAGAACCACTGCTCTAGGGGTGTTTTAGTTTTTTTGCAATTATAATATCCCACGTCTCAAAAAAGTAAAAAAATAATTCGTCAGCGGGATATACTCAGAATTAAGTAACATGACACATGGACTAAGACAACCACACCATCACCTAAGGCACTTATAGTCTCAGTCCTTTAATAACGTCAAAATGTTTGTTACCAAGCGCACGATTCAAGATAGAACATCCCAAACACCCAATCCGAATGCGTGCAATGTAACGAGACCTGCCAGCCAGGCCAAATCTGCTCCTCCTCTTTCTTTACGCAAGCAAGTGATGTCCGAGTGTTCTCCCATTCTCTCGCTCTCACTCTCTGCTGCACAAGGAACCACAATCACCCGACAAGACGATTCTGGTTCAAGGTGATTGTGTCCCCGATTATGCCGATGGCCGTCACGAGCCTCCCCAGCTCGCAATTTGCCTTTGAGTACCGCTCCCAGTGTCACACCCAGAGATCCCTGAGTCACGTTCAGTTAAACGTCTAAACACCCTTCACAGTGACCGCGCCCGGTGACCTTACATTGTCCGGATGAAATCAACTTCCGAGTGTAAATTGTTCAGAGATGCGGAGCACATTAACTAAACGCTACCATTCACCGCAACCCAACGAGTATCTCTGCTCCTACGTTTGCTCTAAAGCAGTGGCTCTCAACCGGGGATACGGGGACCCCATGGGGGTACGTGGCGATGTCCCATGGCACACGTGCGGTTATTTCTAAATGTGTGAAATTATATCACACATGTGAGTCATTGGTGAATGATCATGTATGAATCTGCCAATATAAAATAACTACGATGACATTTGTATCCATATGGTAACCTATAAGGATACAAAAAAACTTTCTACATTAATTTATCGTAAACAATGTTGGTTTCCAAGAGCAACAAGCGAGCGAGCACAAACTACATCACGCACGTAGAGCATCTGTTGAACTGTTTGTATGTGTGTGTGCCGGTCTCCTTCATAGGTGCTCGCGAACAGAACTTGCCCCAGCAGTCTGTTAAGGCTATACGGGGGATCTTTGTCTTCGTGCCGATCTCTATGTGTGTGTGGATGCGGTGTGGAAATAAACATCACCATTAGGGAGACAAAAACGGTCGGACATAGTGCTGGCCACCCACCCCCTCGTGTGCCGTGCCGGCCTTCGTAGGTGCTCGCAAGCAGCAATTGGCCCAACAGTCTGTTCAGGCTACACGGGGGAATCTTAGTTTATTGTTTTTGTGTGTGTGTTGGTCTCTATGTGTTTTAGATGCAGCACCAAGCAGTATCCCTCGGATCTCCCGGACCTCACCCTGGTGCTCATCTTCTACAACGAGGGGCTGTCCATCTTGCTGCGAGCGTTGCACTCGGCCGTGCGGAACACGCCCGCCCACCTGCTCAAGGAGGTCATCTTCGTCGACGACAAGAGCGACCTGCGTAAGGCTTATCAAAGCAATTGCGACCCACGGTCTTTTTTTTTAAATCATATTAATGTAAATAACAAAAAAATCGATCATTTTAATAGTCGTAATTTTCATCGTTGAAAATGTTTGTCGACTACTAACTGCTGTTTTTTATTTTACCAGGTAAGGCCCACTGAGCCTATGTTGCTCTCTTTCAGATGCGACCTGGCCACAAATGATAGCTCAACTTTTTGGCTTATCACGTGTAAATGTATTGCAGCCAAAGAATATAAATGCATGATTCTAAATATGGAGGGGAAAAACCGGAGGACCCAGATAAAAAAAATTCACGCTACCACCTTATTTTATCCCATTGATGCTTACAAACCTTTTCATATGATGCTTGGAGTATAGGGTACAATAATGTAGGATTGTTATGGATAAGCATATCTCGTACTCCAGTGGTGGTGCCTTTTTTCCATAACCCCCTACTTCAAGTCAGCCTCGTAGCGTTTCGGCTAATAGTGAAAGATTAATCTCTGCGGCTAATATCAATGGTGAGTTATCTCCCCCCCCCCCCCAACCCCACCCCGTAACATTCACTCGCCCCCAATGACCAGCATGGTGAAGTATGGTCAAACAACGCCCATGGACAAGATGGCATGGAGAGGCCTTCACTCCGCTGTGTATTGTTATTAATACTCAGTCGTGTATTAAGCAGACGCCTGCTTGACGGGTGTTAATGTCCTCTGATGTGCATTCTGTATAATTTCCACTTTGATTATGCTCAACGTGATTTTCTGCTCACATGAGCATTGAGGCGGTGCTCATGTTTAACGCCCTGAGCTCGGAGAACAAGTTCCCCATTCCTATGGCGGGGGTGAGTCTAAGCTTAGGACAAACTACTATTGGCCTCTAAAGTGGTACTTTTTATCGATCCTGGAGGGATGATAGGCTGAGCCAACTCTCGACTCGGATTTGAACTCGTAACCTTCCGATTGCGAGCCGCTCAGTCGCATACAAGAAAGTAGTAAACAAATAGCAAACATATCGATGCCTTGTGATAATATATTCAAATTTATTTTGGGCGCCACGGTGGCGAGATGTTAACTACCTCGCCTGATATACAGGAGATCGTGGGTTTGATCTCGGCCCTGACGCCTGCTGTATATTTGGAGTGTGCGTGTCTCTCTCTCCCCGTGGTCCTTGTGGATTTTCTCTCCACATTTCGAATCAACATCGCGCGTTTCGAGTATTTGGCTGCTATAAATGTCCACATGATGAGGCACTTCGTAGAAGCTATCATTTGTGGCCAGGTCGCTTCTGAAAAAGAGCTACATTGCTCAGTGGGCCTTACCTGGTACATTAACAAAAATCGGTGGGGGGCGCAAGTCTAATAAGCGTTGATACCAGATGCAATTGAGATTAATAATCGATACAGTTGAGATGAATAATGAAATAAACTAACATGAAGAGCTATTGAGTCTGCTTTAGAGAGTATGTGGCCTACTCTTTCACGCTGATGAGACATCTTGAGCGAGGTGGGAGTAACCAAACTTTACCCCACCACACGCAACCTACCGAGTGACTAATTGTGGTGCGCCCACGTGTACTTCTGGGTGTACAGAAGCGAGGGGTTCTCGTTGTTTCAACACGTTCCAGTGACCTTTAAATACAGCTAGACGCTGCTGCTCATGTGATGCGACCATCTATTGGCGTCTCTTCCTCAGCCGAACTGCAGGAAACGATGACGAACAAGGTGCAGGAGTTTGCAAGGGAGCGGACCAACATCACCATCCGGATCATCCGGCACAAAAAACAACTCGGATTGAGTGCTTCCCGTGTGTCCGGTATCAGAGCTGCTTCTGGATCCGTTGTGGCAATTATGGATGGGCACGTGGAATTCCCGGTTGGCTGGTACATGATACACACAAATACACACACACATACTATGCACCCATTTCTTTAAAATGTTTTTATTAATCTCGCAGTGTGACCACATTTTTCAAAACCCACGACGCATCCACACTGCCTGGACCGCTCAAGTAATTTAAGGGCGACCTAATACCTCCGTGTGATCGTTTGAAACTATGACTGTTCACTGGAGTTTGACGCATGTCGAAAAAGTTGTTCATGGAGCCTGTCTCAAGCGATTAAAATCGTCAGGCGGTGAAATTCGCACGCAGTTATTCGCTTGTCACGTTGTTGCAATATCACGTCACCTTGACGAGCCCCGAAGCTGAACTTCAAGCTGGAACATTCTTTTTATTTGACAGGAGGCAATTCCTCCAGCGAAACACCTGCTGGGGACATAAGCTATTTTTAACTCGTACAATATCGGCGGTGTGTGGGATGAGCAGTGGTTAGTACGCCCAGGGCCGGATGAAGGCACGGGGCTTTAGGGGCTGCAGCCCAGGGGCCTCCGCCAGCCAGAGGGCCTCCAGAGATTAAGTGAAAAGTTATTTCACTTGTGAATGCTGAATTTGATTTGTTGTTAGCCTTGTAAAAATAAATTATATTTTTCTTTAACTTTTTTTTTAACTTTTGAAAATAAGTACGCTCGACTATGAACCAGGCGACTTGCACTTGATTCCTGGCCATGGCGAGCATCACTGGCGATGAGGTCTAAACCACCCACTTCACCATCCCGCACTGACCAGCGCGGTGAGGTATGGTAACACAATCCCAATTAACCGTGCAGCATTGGAAGGCCTTCAAAGGGCATATGTTACATTACCCTGGTGGAGGAATGACTGGAAAAACGCAAACGTCATCCAGAATACGAACCTCATCAAGGATACCACCACCAAATAAAATAATTTCCTAATACGACTGCAGCACACAACAACTAACGGTGACACATCGTGAACTCACGATCAATGCGAGCCTATGAGTCTCTGTGACTCTGTGGGTCTATAGCTCTCTGTGTGAGTCTATGAGTCTGTGTCAGGCTATGGGTCCCGGTGTGAGCCTGTGTGTCTCTGTGTGAGTCTAGGACCCCTCTTTTCATGAGCCTGGGGTCCCACGTGGACAGAGACGGCATTGTTTGTCGTGAGCCCCCGTGTCCTCCTCTCCTCCCAAAACGTTGTTCCACCATTGTAATCAAGTGACAAATGACTTCCCTTATCACCGTTTCGTTACAGGGCGGAGCCTATATTGGCAAGGATAAAAGAAAACCGGAGGGTGATCGTGTCTACGATATTCGACCAAGTACTATACGACAGTTTCCTGGTCAATCGTTTCGAATCGCAAGCACAAGCGTACGATATGCAGCTCTGGGCCGTCTACAACAGCCCTCCTCCGGACTGGATCGCCAACAACGACCCCACGGCCCCCATCCGGTATGAGATGAAGCACCAAGACGGCACCCCAGTAAACGTGGAACGCTGGGCCAACGTTGGACCAACGTTGGTCCACATGGCAATGGAGGCCCAGCGTTGGCGTGGTTACTGGGACGATGCAACACGATGTGTGCATGTGGAATTCACTCTGGATGGCAGGATGGCACATTGGTAACGTTGGTGCCTCGCAGGGAGATTCCTGACTCGGGAGCCTTTCTGTGTGGAGTTTGTGTGTTCTCTCCCCCCCCATTTTTTTACCAGCAGCAGGGAAATGAAAACCTCACGCTCTATATTATCAGCAAAAAAACTTTAGTTTTCATCGATTTCAAGAACCCAAAGACAACTTCGTAACAAGGAGACCGCGATTGTTATTCTGTCCAGCATCGATGACAATGAGCATGAAAATTATGCGTGCGTTTCACAACCATGTAATTTTCCTATCAGGAGCCCTGCCGTGATGGGCTGCATGGCAGCTAGCAAGAGTTACCTGGAAGAAATTGGCTTCCTGGATGAAGGCATGTTGGTGTATGGAGGAGAGAATGTGGAGCTGGGAATAAGGGTAGGTTATTACGTACATGCATGTAAATTAAGTGGTCTGGATATCTTGAGTCCACATTTCATAATGACGATAATTTGGATGATTTAGACACGTCATCAAAGTAGCGCCTCGACACGTTTTGATGGACATCCGGTCGTGGGGATGGATGCATGAGTTCTCCGATCTAGCACTGTAAAGGCGACGGTTAGTGGATCACAAAAATATGCATGAAATTCCCATCCCATGGGCGTCAAAGAAGGCTCTAAACCCCTGACTCGCCTGGAAAAGGCTGTACAGCAGGATGACGAATCTCCATCTGTTTCCATCCGTACGGGGAAAGAGTGTTGCCCCCTTGTGCAAGGCCTGGGTTTTCTCCGTGTGCTCCGGTTTCCTCCCACTTGGATAAACACTCAGAATAAATTGGCAGAAAACATTTGCAGGACCCTCTTGAAAGGTAATTGGACTTTTAATGACAATAATAATATCTCCTGGGTAAATAAGGACTTATTATATAGACATGTTCAAAGACGTGTTGATCCGTGATTTATGTGTCATCAACGTCTGGCAACAAAAAAAATGAGTGGTTTAACAAGGCTGGCTCTGCTGATGAGATCCCGAACGTTAAAAACAGCCCAGAGTTTGGTTGATCAATCATATATTGCTGAATGAAGTTGATCTGAGAGATAGTCGCTATCATCCCTCAAAAATAGCACACAATTTGAGCTTAGGGTTGTATTTATATAGGATTACTGAGTGAAACAAGTTACCTTTTTTAAATGTTAATGTCGAATATAGGGCGACACAAACTATACGTGCGTACACTTAAACGTGCCCCCATTCTCATGTGGTTCACATTCTGCTGGTAGGTGCTTTTATGGCCATTTGTGTTTATAATTCCCACCAAAAAATAAGCCATCGGTTTTGAAGTGTCAAGGGCAATTGCTGCAATGGTCTCCAGTGCGTCTTTTCCAATGGCACATCTAAGTCGCACAGGGATTTGATTGCAGCTCGGCATGGGAATTAGCCAGTGGGAAAAAAAACACCTATACCGTGATGGCCCGGATGTGCCAGTGGAAAAGGGTTATAAGTGTGTGTGCGTTTTTAAGGTAGGAGGGTGGTGTTATGATGGTGGTTATCTCGATGCACAACAATCCCAGAGATCCGACTTCCAGTTCTGAATATGGTTTGATCAACATCTCAAGATGACACATTTAACACACGCAATGCTTATTTAATCTCTTAATTTTGAAGTGTAACCCTTGACTGCCCACTCGTGGGCTTGCGTCACGCCGTGTCGGCAGGCCTGGCAGTGCGGGGGTCGAGTGGAGATCCTGCCCTGCTCTCGCGTGGCTCACATCGCCCGATACTACAAGCCCTACGCGCCGGACCTGTCGATCCACATGCGGCGAAACGCTCTGCGTGTCGCCGAAATTTGGATGGACGAATACAAGTGGATGGTCTACATGGCTTGGGGTGTGCCTATTCAAGTAAGCTCAACCGTGTCCACATCTGTGCAAAACATAAATGCAAAAGTGCCATCGGCAGCAGCAATCGCCAACTTATCACCGTCCCACGCGGTCTGGTGATGTCGCAATATATTTCACTCCTCTTGGGTGCACTTCCTCCCTTGACTGCCATTCCGATGTTAGCATCTTCGTGTCCTGCCTAAGGCCACATTTCTCAAATGCCAACACGAGGTCACACCTGGTTGAACTACAATTTTTAAAGTCACGTTTTAAATTTGTGTATGTTCTCTAATCCGTTTATTCCTCTGTCCTGTAATTACAAGCATGTACGAGTGCATGCACACTTTGCAGCATTTGTTTAATTTCTTTCACCAATGTCCACACCTCTGACCTTTGTGTCTGAGCAGAAACGCACTGATTAAAATGTTCGTCTTGAGGCACATTGACATGTCGCTTTTCACTATCAAGTTGAGCTTTCCGAAAGTACTCCAGCACAATCTCGTCCACCTCTCTGTGTCACAATTCACATCTCGATCCGCCTTCGGCAGCTTTCCTCGACATGCAGATCGATGTTTCCCAGCCGTGCAAAATTGCAAGCAACTCTCCTTTCTCGCACTTATCTCGAGCCCAACTTTGTGGCCTTCTTCCTGAGGCTTTTCGCGATCATTTCCTGTAGTTGATTTTGATCGGTTATTCCGATGACTTTATTGTCAGAAAATCATCATCAGATAGCCTGTAGGTGTCCACTGCACATTGCCATTTGTTTCCACTTTCCTCTGCCTTGTACAAATATTCTCAAGTAGTGTCAGCAAATATAAGATGCTTAATACTTTCTCCTTGTATGTTGATGCCTTTATTCCCCCCAATATTTGAATAATATTTTCGACTGCTGCAGTGAATATCCTTGTTTGAGAGCGTATCTCCTTTGCTCGACTCCCCTTGTGATTTGTATTCGTGTTGTTTAATGCAGTGTGTTTGATAAATGTTGTTCCTACATTTTCTAAGAGCTGGAATGAGTGCATCAAGTTACCACTACAAACTTACATTCTGTAGACTACAGAAGCCAGGCGTAACGTGTCTTGATAATAATTTGTCTTTCTATAACTTGATTGGGAGCATGTCACGTGTACCACACCCGTAACAAACTTTAATATGCAGATTTATCTTCTCACTGTCATCGTATCGTCATCGTGTTAGGCACAGGAGTGGCAGCACACGATGAGCACGCTTTGATCACATATTTTTCTGCAGGACTCGGGCATTGACATTGGCGACATATCCAAACGAGTTGCTCTGCGTTCCCTGCTCAAGTGCAAGAGCTTCAAATGGTATCTGGAAAACGTCTTCCCGTCGTTCGAGCTCCGCCATAAAATTGTCCGCTACGGAGTTGTGAGTAATGTTCGTTCTTGTAATTTTTTATTGCGAGGCGTATGAAACATGTCACTTAAAAGGCCGATGAAGTTTGCCGTTGAGATGGAGTGCGTTATGTTTTTTTACGTAATAAATAATGAGATTCTAAGCTTTATTGGCTTGTGAAGGATCGTAATGTGGCCCAGAGGTTGCATGTTGTTGCAGAGGTTCGCGGTTCGATCCTGGCAGGCGGCCCTGGTTACTTCTGCGGGGGTGTTGATGATGAAATTCGAGCATATCTGCTTCATAGGGGACGTTCAAAATCTCGCGACGTCAATTGAAAATAGTCGGCCATTGTGTGCCAGCGTCACGGTCGAATTTATACAAAATTGCCCACAAAATGAATTGGGCTTTGCTACGTCGCCCCCTACCGCGAAACCACTGCACACTGTGTCTGTGAAAGGCAGCGCCTTCGCGATCACCTGGTGCTACAAGAATGGAGCGCATGCCAAATGTGCACACGATGACACTGGATAAGATCTTCGTTCTAAATAAAACGTCAGCCACCAGAAATCCCAAGCTGACTGCAATTTACCAAATAAACATATAGGATATAAGTGCTGTAGATTGTGAAGTTGCGAATATGAATATGCAGGCACGCTTATTTTTAGTGAACTTCAATGCAATTTCAAATTTCTGGCAAATTATATCCGCAATGTTCTGTCGTGAAAATATTGATATCGCAGCAACCATACATCGTGCCTAATGCTCCCTTATTTCGAACAGAGCTTACAATCACAGTTCCACAAGACTGTACACCGAAAATGTGTTCTGTTAATGTGTACTTGTTATGCTTGACAATGTTCTTATTTCATTGTGCAGTTGACAAACAGCAAAAGAACAGATGTATGCTTGGACAGAGGAAACCCAGAGAAAAATAAACCGATAGTTTACCCATGTTTTGGATACCAACCACAGGTAAATCGAATTTCTAATGTATAAGATGCAGTGCCGGATTATCCGCGGAGCAACAGTCGCTACACATGCTATGGGTCCCGCACTTTCAAGGGCCCCTCGCTAAATGCTTTCAAGCATATCAATTCCGGTTCAATGATTATGCACTTGCTTTATTACTATAGTACTATATTGCCTTCAACATTTATGAACAACTGGGTGTTAAAGGTTAGCGATTTGTCGTATTATCTGGCTGTATAGCAAATAAAAAAATGCAATTACTTTACTATGCAAGTAAAATATTCTAACAACATATGCTACAGGCATACAACATATGCTACAGGCCTCGCACTAGCTTAATCCGGTACTGATAAGATGCATCATCACCTCCTACACACCATACCATGTGCTCATCTCTGTATTCATGCCGATGCAAAGCGCTTAACATTTTTGATTCGCGTTATTTTTTTTATATTTAACCTGGAAATTCCTTCAGGTAGAATATCTGACCTGCAAGGGTGTCCATGGTGCCTCTTTACTCGCCCACAGCAAGCACGTCGCAGTTCAAACCTAAAACTTACGCAGCTTGCTGTTTTTGTACGGTGCATAACGCACCCAAATACATTCGCAAAAACGTCACGCATTATAGATGCCACACACGGCCGGGTCTCGTATTGAACGTTCTTTGGCTCTAACGGCTGAAGACGCGGTGCGAGTTCGCACCCAAGATGCAAACGAGTTGCGACTGGGGGCTTCGTTCGCGCGCGTCTGCGAGGTCGTTCCACGGCGATGTGGCTCTGTGCCTGAGCAAGAGGTCGCATGATGGGGGCTTCCACCCGGGGGGCAGCAGCGACATCGTCGCTATGAGTGTCGGACCGCGGAGCCTTCGTTGTCGTATTACGACGGTGGTTGAGTTTGAAGCGGGAGTTGCATTGCAACGTCCACATCTGCGGATGTCGGAATGCCCGTCTTCGATAGGTGGGGCAAAGAAAGCCACGTCAGGAATTAGGCACACAGCAGCACGTGTAATAGAAACCATTTATGTCACATTTGCCTTGATTTGCTCAGTATAGCCAAACCGCGATGCAGGTTGTTGATCGGAACGCCCTCGGCTCATCTCGCACCATTTACCGGAAACCCGCGTGCGGTTTGTTTTGCAGTTGGTCGTCCAAACCTCCTCCAATTTTGTCATCGTCGGGTTTAAGCTCACCAATTCGGAGCAAGGAAGAACGACTGTCGGCATCTCTGAGAATGGAGAGGACTTGTCTCTGTTGGATATCGACGTTTCTGCGGATCAAGGGCGATTCCTGCTGTTTGAGGTAAGCTCGTGTTGACGCTATGTGCCACACGTGTAAGATGCTGTACGACGCAGGTTAAACACGCCTGTACGTTCATCTTTAACTAGGGATCCAACAGGTTTAGAGAAATGAGTGTCTGCGGCAGGCAGTGAACGCTTTCCATCGGTGCTGACCAATGGGGATTTGTCCAGCTGAGTCCGAGGACTGCGAGGCAAACGGTCTAGCAATGTGAACACACCTGGTGCACCTCCAGAAGATGCAGCCGAGCCAGGCATAACTGCTCTTGGATTACAACCGGCAACGGAAACCTACACGTTCATATTTTATACCAATATTTGTTCTGCGGTGGATACATAAAAAAAAATTCCAAAGGCTGTACAGTATTCGACATTTTTAATTATACTATTAAGTAAACAGCCGTCCTATATTTATCATAGAGCGTTTCTCTGTTGCACGTAAAATGAAACAAACTGGAAAACCCGCCCATAAAGGGAACCTCCATTCCTTTGAAAGGGAAACGTGTCCCTTATTTACCCCTCAGAATCCGGTGCGTCTCCTCTTCGCAAGTGAGCTTGCTCGACTCACTTAGGCTTGCCTCTGATTTCAAGTGAGCCAGCTCCGATACCACGCTTTACTTGAACCGGCACTCATCCGTGTGGTCCCTTAGCCACGCTCGCGATTTCCCCACGAGGCTGAGCCGGAGCCCCAAAGCCACGGCTGAGCCGCTCATCGACTCGCCTTGGAAGCAAACTGAGCGGCTCAAAGCCTGAGCTGAGCATGAGTGTAGGAGGCTAAGCCGGAGCAGAGCCGTGACTAAGAAGGCGGCTCTGGCAAGATTTGGATATGGACACACGGGCATGGCGGTGTATTATGTGGTCATCCGCCACACCATTCATGACATATTAAAGTGAATATGAATGTCGGGGCCTTAAAAGTGGTACGGAATTCAACTCGATTGAGAATGCACTTCAAGCGCGAATAAATATGAAGCCTGCCAGAAGACACAAGTATTCTAATCATTGTAACCTTTCGATCACTAACTCATAAACTTCATGGATAGCACGTGCATAGGATACATTAATATCCAGTAATATTTTGTCCATCAGATGGATCATCGGAAAGGGACAGAGCAGGAGGACTCCTTTCAAAGCTTTCTGCGCTTTCTAATCGGATGTATTCCGTGTTGTGTTTGTGGTGCGCAGGATGGTCAGGTGAAATCTCAAGACAAGACAAAGTGCATGGAAATCGTAGATGACATCACTAAGGAACATGGGGTCGATTTAGTGTTGCAGCCCTGCTCTGGCCAGAAGTGGACTCTGGCATATTACCAGAAATCCTAGAAAAGTGCAATGTGTATATAAGGCAGTCTTGATTTGAAGCTTTCGTGACTGCAGGAATCCATACTCTTTGGTTATTTCGGTAAAGTCACGTGGGTAAAAATAAAATAAATCACGACGTTTCGGGCGCAACACAAGCGTCGATCATGAGGTGGGAAAGCATGGTCTGCTGCTGAGGCAGACTGTTTAACAGACTGTTTAACAGTCTGCTTCTGCATTTTATTTTATACCTACGTGACTTTACCGAAAGAACCAAACAGTATATAAGGCAGCTTAGATATTTTTTTAATATAATATATACATCGTTTAATTGTACGTAAGTTGTGTTTTATCGACAGCAGAAAGTAAAACTCCCTGCAGTGTTAACAAAAGTTGGTATGGCTAAGGTGGACTGTATAACACTGTTTAACACTACTACTATCATCATCATCTCTATGGAGTAGATCACCAATTAACTTCTGAAATTCAACTTCAGTATACGAGATTTCTTGAATGACAAACTGCTCTACATAGGTTGGCAACTTTTGCAAATGGTCTTAATCTCAACCTCGTGATCAACCAATCCCTCAGTTAATGCATGTTCCCTATAATTCCCCACACCATCCTCTGGATGTCGTCATCACAGAAGTTAAGTTAAATCATGTCATGCTCATGACACCGGTCACTTTTAGTGGCAACATCTTATACGTTTCCCTTTACCGACAGACTTAATTTATTCAAGAAATTCCAGGCCCCAAATTTATTTTCTCCAATCAGGTACTCATCTCCTCCACATCTCCCTCGACTTAGAGAGAGAGGCAGTCCGTCATAGGCAGAGGAGGTGAGGAAGGTCTTGAGCCTGGACTTGAACAGGGGCAGGGAGCCGACAGATGGCTGATGTAAGATATTTCCAGAAAAATGGGGGCAGCAGAGATTGATCCGGGATCAGACTGGGGGCAAGTGGATATACTCGAGTATTGAGGGGATGTGATCTCGTGAACGGATGCGGTGAAAAGTCAGGTAGTGGGATTTTCAATCATCTGGAGTTTAGAAATTAGGGAATTGAGGAGGCCACGAAAGAGAGAGTAGAGACAGGGTGGTTCCATAGAGCGGCGTTCTTCGTTGCAAGGCTCACGGGCCACTGGTTGCCTTTAGTGCAGCCCTGACGTGCAGCCCTCGACAATGCACAACACGTGACAACACCCCCATGGTGAAGAACACTGCCACAGAGGGTCATGATCAGCTACAAGGCACTGCTACCTACTCAACATCTTGACAAAAGCATGACCAATTCCTCGTGCCTAACATCTGCGGAAAACAGATGCACAGCCTCTGCTGCATTCACCCTGTTCCCTAGCAAAGCCAAGACAGACTAAATACTCGATCTCATTTTTCTGCTGCAAGGCAACCCTGGTAGTGTTGCACTAAAGTTTTGCCAAACACCTCAATTTGATTTGTGGATAAAGAGAAGATTGTGGATGCAGTGCCCATCCCATTCCCTGCAGATCATACGATTCCTATATGTGAAGTTGATGTATTCGTGAATTATTGCAGTATTCTATTAAGCCAGAAGTTCTGTCAGAAGTTGATTACCCGATTAAAGTCAACTGAGCTGTACCTCTCTTTGCCAAGGGCGACTTGGCCAGCAGAGCAGTTATACATACGTTATTTAAAAATAAAAGTGCATGATAATAATATTTTCTGAAACACAATTATGTACATTCATACTTGAAACTTTCTGATCTCAATGGGGTCCGTTTAAGGCGGGCGGGGGGGGGGCTGCGTCTCCGGAGCCGCGTGCGGCTCTTTAAGGAACTGCTGCTTCGTGACGACGTCATTTATTAAGGAACCACCGTCTCCGTATTCACACGCGTTGTGGCTCTTGAACTATTGAGAGGTGTTTTTAACCGAATTTGAAAAAAAATGCCTCTTCCTGTTATTTTTGGATGCCGACCACTGTTTTAAGGAAGTCCAGATATGGCAGCAGAATGGAGATCCCAAGCGGAACCAAAAGATGATTCCAGCACCTTGGAGCAGTAACTGTACAGTAAACGCTTTTGAACCAAATTGTGAAAATCTCGGAATTGTCAACAAAATGATCAGGCGTGCGCCACGGATTTTTAGGGCTTACTAATCGTGTCAATAAATCTGACAATGCGAACATTTACGGCCATTTACTCCATGAAGTAATATAATTCTGGCCTGATATTAATGGGTATACAGTTTTACATAAAATATATATTATATTTGTGTTGGGTGACTTGATGAAATTTTACTTTAAGATTATTATATTGGTGCGATCAAAATAATTGCTGCTGTGTCTTACATTTATCTGAAATTCTGTATTTAAAAGATTTTATATATGTTTTCCAATGTTAATATGCGTTACATTGCATGAATGACAAGTGACGACTCATTTTTTTGACAAATCTCAAAATAAAGATTTAACACGATCATTATATGTGCAAAGCAATGGTCTCGCAGAAGAATTCAGTCTAGATGAACAGTCTGAGCACCGATGGTCAGACTGACTTCGTAACTCCAAAGTTGTTGGCCAGGCTTGGGAAAACGTAATCATTGCTGATGTCAACTGTGTGCAGAAATGTACTGTATTGTTGTAGTAATTACAATTGAACAAAAATAAGTCAGTTACTTCCTGCATAAATGAATATTGTAGAAGTTCTCTTCTCCTGTTTACAGCTGTGAGCCCCTGGTGGAAATTCCTCAGTCGTATGGCAGAGGCGAGTCTTTCCACGGGACAACCACTGCTGAATACCCAGCAAAGCGATACCTATTTTGTGACCCCGGAAGGATGATGGGCTGTCAGCCGCCTTAACCAGGATTTGTACTCGCAACTTTCTGATTGTGAGCTACTTACTCTGCCACTGAGCCACCTGAACGGTCATTTACAAGCCTGTTCTATTGCAGCAGTAGCGGTTAATGGTAGTGTACTGGGTAAGCAGGGAGAGCAAGACTTGCTGTAGGCAACACGTTTATTAATACCTCAGGGTCCATAACACAAAGGGGTGCCCTTTACACCCGATACCCGAGGGAGGCAGCCCCTCCGGACGAATGTGCCCTCACTCTGGTTATAGTTTTACCCTAGACTGGTAAGCTCTGAACCCGACTCCAGCCAGGGGTTCGGGTTCTGCCCTTTGGGCTCTTCGCTTCAGTCTTCAGAGTGGCTCTTCAGATCCCCTGGTCTTCAGGTCTTAAGGTGGACGATGACTGCCGGACCCGTTCAGGCGCCCGGCTTTTATACCCGTTTCAGGGTCTCTCCGCCCCGAGCCACACCTTCCTTCTCGAACTCTCTAGGGGGCCCTGCAATATCGGCATCCCCCCAGTCCCCCTCTTGGGGTCTGATATCCCTGGTGGCCCAACGGCTCAACTCATCCCACCTATCCTGTCTACCACCCTCTGTTGGCACGTGCCCGATACTGCAGGTAAAAATCAATGGCGATAACCATACTGCCCAACAATGGCACGACAAGTAGTATGGGAAGTTAGCCAAATGTAATTATGAGCATCCAATATTCAATTGCCAAAGTAGCAAATGGAGCTGGTAGGTCACAGCGTGTATGATTGAGAATGCTTGTCAGGCCCCAGCATCAGTGCAGTTGGGGGACATGGTTGGATTCCGCAGGGGACAATTCTAATAATTTCAGCTTTAATAACGTCAATGCGCTGCACAGGTTCGAGAGAGCAACTCAGAGGCGCGAGGAACCACACACAAGTTGGAAAAGCAGCCAGGCAATGATCCCGACACAACATTTCCCTTCTCCCCCACCCCAAGATCTGCGGTCCTTTAACCTATGAAGGCGTTATCAGCCAATTCATGAATGCTTACATTCGAGAGCACCTGGAGAGAACCCACGCATGCGAGGGGGCAATACCGAATACCATCCAGACGGGACAGAGGGATTCATCTTCTTGGTTCTTTCGGTAAAGTCACGTAGAAGGGAAGTAATAAAATAATAAAAATAAAACATAATAAAATCAAATAATTCTCACGACGTTTCGGCTACAACGCAAGCAGCCGTCTTCAGGTGAAGAATGAGACACTGCCAAGCTAGGAACTTATATATAAGCTGGGTTGGAGGTGGAAGAAGAAGAGAGCCTTAACAAAAGAATGTGCATATCAAGAGGAATTTAGCATATTCATGGCAAATGCGTAGGAGGTGGGCGGGGGGGGTTTCAAAGTCATATTATGCCCATGCATTATGCAGGATCAGCAGCACCAAAGGGAGGGGGGGGGGTAGCATTAACAAAGGGAGGGCATGTTAATAGTATGCAGAAGCAATGAAACATGTGAATGGGAAAACGGTGGCAGGAGATCCGCAGCAGAGCAAATAATGCATTCCCTGTGGAGAACACAAGATACAGAGGGAGTTCACATTCTGCTGTATCGCCCTCTCCTGGGCAAGTCAGGCGATTATGGCTCTTCGATGCCCATAGGATGAGAGTTTCGCTTCATTTGTGTGATCCGTCAACCCTCGCTACCTCCAGAGGGTTGGATTACAGGCCACCACTGCGATGATAATTAGGTGGCAGTCACCTCCATTATTGTCCCATTTGCACAGAACTCAAAAGGCAGCGGGAACTTCAGTGATTTCAACATTCTTGCAGTTATTGCCTGGAACATTGGCCCATTATTTCCAGTACTCTCTACCCTAATGGCCTCATCATAACAGGAGCACTGTTAACCTAAGTGACATCACATCAGAATTTTATTTAAACTGGAGGAATCCAATGACCTATGACGTTTATATGTCCAGCAGGGGCGGGTCAAATGTTACAACAACAAAAATACAAAAACACACAGCAGTGCAAATGATAGGAAAGCTAAGCAAGGCACTACATCTAAAAAATAAATTGGTGGGGTGATGTGATGTGGGGTGGGTGATGTGATGTGAGGTGGGTGGGTGATGTGATGTGGGGTGGGTGGGTGATGTGGGGTGGGGTGGGTGGGTGATGTGGGGTGGGGTGGGTGGGTGATGTGATGTGGGGTGGGTGGGTGATGTGATGTGGGGTGGGTGGGTGATGTGATGTGGGGGGGATGGGTGGGTGATGTGATGTGGGGGGGGGGTGATGTGAGGTGGGTGGGTGGATGGGTGATGTGATATGGGTGGGTGGGTGATGTGATGTGGGGTGGGTGGGTGATGTGATGTGGGGGGGGGGGTGGGTGATGTGATGTGGGTGGGTGATGTGATGTGAGGTGGGTGGGTGATGTGGGTGGGTGATGTGATGTGGGGTGGGTGATGTGATGTGGGGTGGGTGATGTGATGTGGGTGGGTGATGTGATGTGAGGTGGGTGGGTGATGTGAGTGATGAGATGTGGGTGATGTGATGTGGGTGATGTGAGTGATGTGATGTGGGTGGGTGATGTGATGTGGGGTGTGTGATGTGGGGTGGGTGATGTGATGTGAGGTGGGTGGGTGATGTGGGTGGGTGATGTGATGTGATGTGGGTGATGTGCGTGATGTGATGTGGGTGATGTGATGTGGGTGATGTGAGTGATGTGATGTGAGTGATGTGATGTGGGTGATGTGATGTGCGAGATGTCACGTGAGGTGGGTGGGGTGCCGCCCGCTCTTGTTCTGCATCTTGTCGCCGGGCGACCGACTCCGACTCGTCTCCTCTCCTCCTTCATCTCGCCGCGGGCTTCCCCCCTTCCCAGCGCCGTCGGTCACTCCGGCACCACCGGACTCAGCACGCAGTACGTGCTCTCGCTCTCTCTCTCTACGTGTGCTCCCATCGCTTCTTGCAGCCTGCGTGTGCTGTGGATGCGTCTGTGTCTGTGCAATGTGTCTATGCAATGTACGAATTGCGTGCGCGTGTGCTGGCCGTTATTAATGTGGATGCTCGCTAACGCCGCTTGATGCCCTACAAGGTTGTGACGCTTCAATGGGGGAGATGTCTTGTCTTGGGATATCCAGTCAGTGTGTGTACACGTGTGTGCTGTGTACAGTCAGTGTGTGTGTACACGCGTGCGCTGTGTACAGTCAGTGTGTGTGTACACGTGTGCTGTGTACAGTCAGTACGTGTGCTGTGTACAGCGTGTGTGCACGTGTGCTGTGTACAGTCAGTACGTGTGCTGTGTACAATGTGTGTACACGTGTGCTGTGTACAGTCAGTGTGTGTACACGTGTGCTGTGTACAGTCAGTGTGTGTACTGTGTACAGTCAATGTGTGTACGTGTCAACCCATGCCTCCCGATTCTGTTCCGTGACCTGCCAGCGAGCCTTCGACACTTCACGTGGCCTCAAAGTGCACCTAGCCTGGCACATGCGCCGTGGTAACATCACGGCCACTGAGTAGCGACTGCGTGTTCACCCGGCCGGACTGCGCGATGAGCTCGCGGCTCCTGCGCTCATCTGGCACGAGATGCAAGTCACTTTATTGACAGCCCTGTAAACATTGGCACAACGTTGGCACAACGTTGGCACAACGTTGGCCTTACGTTTGCATGTTTACTGGGATTTCATTAAATCAGAGCTTAGGGAATAAATGTTCTGAGCCCCTGCACGTTGTCCAAAACCTGGGGTCAAATCGTCCTTCGAATCACAGCAATATTGTTAGACGAAATGACATTGTGATTGCAACTCATTACGAATGGCACATTACAACTGTGTTTGGCACCAGCTCTGACTGACATTCCATTTTCCATCGGTGAGCTCCTCCGGCAGGCGAGGCTGCGTTGGCTGGGTAACGTAGCCCGCATGCCCAGCCACCGCAGCTTCTGGCTCATAAACGGGCACGGCACGGGCTCGAGAAGAGATGGGCTGATGTGAGAGTGGGTGAGGAGGTGGACGCCACCGTGGCGAGATGTTAACTGCCTCTCCTGGTATGGTATGGAGGAGGTCGTGGGTTCGATCCTGACCCTGATGCCTATATGTGCTCTCTGTGGTTGCGTGGATTTTTCTCCGGGTCCTCCGGTTTTTCCATCCACATTTCGAATCAACATCACGCGTTTAGAGTATTTGGCTGCTATAAATGTCCACATGATGAAGCACTTCGTAGAGTTATCATTTGTGGCCAGGTCGCTTCTGAAAAAGAGCTACATAGCTTAGTGGGCCTTACCTGGTACAAGAAAACATTGGTGGGTGGTTGATATGTTAGAGTGGTGGCACGGTGGCTAAAGCACTGCTACAAACCTAGAGACTCGATTCCCCGCTTACAGCTTGCACTAATGGCGAATATCTGAACCAGTCCTGGGACTCTCCTAGGTCCACTCAGGCTTACATGAGTGTGAATGTGAGCGTCGTGCTATCCACCCACCCCCTGGTGTGCTGTGCCGGTCATCATGAATCCTTGCGAACAGCACTTGTCCTAACAGTCTGTTTAAAAGGCCACTTGGATTAGTGGATACGGGATCTTTGTCTTTTGTAGCACGGGCTAGAGAGGAGCTTGGTTGGAGGGGTATGGGGGAATTTGAGCTGAATGGACTTGACTTGTAACATTTAGCTGTTGAAGGCAGCATCCCTCCAAGCTCAACTCTGCAAGGTTGTCATAAGGTCTACCAACGTTTTGGGTTTCCCGAGTATCACATCCTATCAAAGCGACACAGCCACTTTAAGTGCAGACAAAGTGACTTGATTCAAGGTGCGTATGAAGCGTGCAGTTTTATTTTGCTATCTTTAATGCTTGGTAAATTGCCTGTTGAGTTGAGAAGGTATCTCTGGCACGGTCAGTGACTCAAGTTCGTTAGGCGACTTCCTGCCTGGCAACGCTGCCCAAGGAGCAACGAAGTGCAACGATGCTCACTTCAACTGAACGACATCCTGATATGATTATTATTATTATTACTGAGGCTTGTTGGCCCAGGAAAGACTCGCTGAGGCTCAAGACACTGTTTCGGGAGGGTCTTGCCAAGTTTTTCACAGCAGGGAGGAAATGTCGCTGTGTGTGTGTGATCCCAATTGAGCAATTTGCAGATAATATTTCAGCATTGACATGGGTTTAGCTATGGAAGGACACCGGAGAACCTGAAGTAAAGCCACGCAGAACAGGGAGAGATCATACAAACTCCACGCAGAACAGGGAGAGAACATACAAATTCCACGCAGAACAGGGAGAGATCATACAAACTCCACGTAGAACAGGGATAGAACATACAAACTCCACACAGAACAGGGAGAGAACATACAAACTCCACGCAGAACAGGGAGAGATCATACAAACTCCACACAGAAAGGCACCCAAGTCAGGAATCACACACAGGCACGTCTTGCTATGAGGCACGATTGTTACTGCTGCTATACAGCAGCAATGAATGATCCTCATGTTCAAGATGGTCTAAGTTAGATTTTCAATGTCTTCTTATTTTAAATATATTGTTTACTATCTTATGGATATGTGATGTGTATATATGAGTGTGTCTGTCCATGTGCATGTCTATTGCGTATTGTCTGACTTCTGTCCATGCGATCAGTATTGCATATAGTGTGTACAGTAGGTTGCGTGTATACACGAGTGTGTTTATACACTCAGATTTATGACGAGATTATCTCTATTCTAATCCTAGAATGGCTTCACGTCTCGAATTCCCATTCATCAAACAAGAGCATGAAGACAATCCAAGCCCTTGGATGTGTCCTGACCTGATCGTGACAGGTGAAGATGTTAACGCTGGTGAGATGACTAAACACACGACCTACTGTTGAATTCGTGTAATCGTTTCAACACCGAAGGAGCGCTGCCGCGTATTTGGCAGCGTAAAATAGTTATATTGAAACGGAGATTGCTATTGAAGTAGTTCCATGGAATTCTCTACCGGGAGCTAAATAACGTGAGGGTCTACTGGCTGTAGGAGCTTTAGAATGGGTATTTCTTCATCACGTTGCCCTGAATAGAATTCCAATTCTGCAATCTAAATCATGTTGTGACACCAATACATGTATTTTACATTATTTGAACAAAGTTAACTGTCTCATTGTGTCAGCGTGTGGCCCGCAGAATTTTGCATAGAACTCGAGTGTTTCTGAAGTCAATTCAGAAGCGTCAGATCCACCATCAACTCGCTACGCTTGAGAAGTTGGTTTAACCACAGGGGGCTGAAACCCAGATTTTAATTCGGGATCTCTGGGACTGTTTCTATGGTGCATGTGTATAGTATTATCCCACTGAGCTGCCTGATTGTAACAGTCAAGTGTAACTGTACGTGTGTAGGAGCAGTCGTGAAGCAAGAAGAGGAGGGAGGTCTGGGCACTGAGATAATGAGGATTGTGGTGAAAAATGAAGCGGATGAAGATGGTAAGACCCCGTCTTCCTGTGTGCAGCTAGAGGGAAACCGTCAAAAGAAGTTTTTTCTGGAGATACCAGAAGAGCGTTGACTCTGGTTGGCTACGTACGGCGCAAAAGACGGTTAACATACATACTGGTGACAGAAGCAAATAATGTCAAAAAGGAGAACCCATGCATATGCATGATTCTTCTTCCTTGTTTAATTGTACCTGCAGGGAGATCCTATAACCATCTCTCCCTTTTATATTTGATGTATATATAGATGGTCATGAGTGAGTGACTGAGCAACAGATTGTGTGAGTGACTGATGTAAATTCTAATTATGTTTGGAAATGGGAAAAAATATTAAAATTGGTACAGGTATAGTCAAGTCTGCGTGTAACTCGTGAAATCCCAGAAACAAAAAATTGCCTAAAATATGGAGACATTGTTACGGTTTTTTTTCGCTTTCATTAATCAAAAAACATGGTTTGTGTTCTTAATGATATCTCCAGATGCAGATATAATTAAATTTGGAGACAGTGAGAGATCAGATGAGACGGAGAATTCCCACGCATATCTGGCCATACCGGACCAGAATTTCATCGAGGTGGAATTATTGGCAGAGGACATCGGTCAAGGTGAGAGGCCCTTTTGAACGCATCACATTACAAAAACAGCGTGAGCTCTGTTTTATCAACAAACCTAACCCTCAAAACTTTCCTAATGTCACTCAGGCATCACTGCTTCTTAAAGGAAGATGCTACCCAAACTATTACCCTTAGTAGATACTTATCTCGGCTGTGTTACCCACACTGACAATAACTTTAAGCTTTGTGTTCCCGAAAAAAAATGAGATTTTCAGGAGGTGTCGCTGTATCGTTTGGGGTAAATCGCTACGGTGACGCTTTAAAGTTGTAGGTCATGCCATTAACTGCTCGTTGTCTGAATGCAACTTTAAGTGACCGCGCGTGCATTTTTTGTTATTTATTATGTGTGGCAGATGAAGTCCTGTGCGAGGAGTGTGGGGAGGGCCTCGGCAGATTCTTCAAAGTGAAGGTGGATGAAGCGAATGGCGCTGGCCAGGCTGCGAAAGCCTGCGCGCAGTGCGGAAAGATGCTCGCAGGCTCCACGTTTTACATTCACAGGCAACAGAGCAGCACGCACGCTGGCAGTGAGCAGCAATACTCAAGAGCGATGCGCGGGAAGGCGTCCGCACGGGTCGAGAAGTCAGGGGTGCGAAATGTGATGACCAATGCCGGTGGGAGGAAGCACCACATGTGCCAGGAGTGTGGGAAGGGGTTTTCTTATCATTGCGAATTAAAGGTGCACTTTAGAACACACACAGGCGAGAGGCCGTACGTGTGCAGGGAATGTGGCAAAGGGTTCACGACGTGTTCCAGTTTAAACATGCACTACGTGACGCACACCGGCGAGAAGCCGCACATGTGCGAGGAGTGCGGTAAGAAGTTTTCGCAACGTTCTAGTTTGGAGTCGCATTATAAAATACACGCTGGCAATAAGCCGCACGTGTGCATGGAGTGTGGGAGGAGCTTCATACAACGTTCCAATCTGAAGAGGCATGCCAGAACGCACACGGGCGAGAAGCCCCACGTGTGCGAGGAGTGCGGCAAGGGCTTCGCGCAGCTGTCCAGTTTGGAGCAGCATTTTAGAACGCACACCGGCGAGCGTCCGTACGCGTGCAAGGAGTGCGGCAAGAGGTTAACGACTCGCGCCGGTTTGGAGCAGCATTCCCGAACGCACACGGGCGAGAGGCCGTACGTGTGCAAGGAGTGCGGCAAAAAGTTTAAAACGAGGTCTAGTTTGAAAAAGCACTGCGTGACGCACACGGGCGAGAAGCTGTACATGTGCGAGAAATGCGGGAAGAGGTTCTCGCAGCGTTCCAGTTTGGACACCCACTATAAGATACACGCCGGCAACAAGCCTCACGTGTGCGAGGAGTGTGGGAAGGCGTTCTCGCAGCTTTCCAATTTAAAGAAGCACTCGAGAACGCACACCGGTGAGAAGCCATACATGTGCAAGGAGTGCGGGAAGGAGTTCTCCCAACGGTTCGATTTAAAGAGGCACCACATAATACACACCGGCGAGAAGCCGCACGTGTGCAAGGAGTGCGGCAAGGGGTTTTCCGAGCGATTTGATTTAAAGAAGCATTCTAGAACGCACACAGGGGAGAAGCCGCACGTGTGCAAAGAGTGCGGCAAGGGGTTTTCGCGAAGTATTACTTTAAAGAAGCATTCTAGAAAACACTACCAAATGGAAATCTTGAGTTAAAATGTTACCATTCATATTGAAAGAAAATGTGTAGTTTTTTTTCCATGAATTACATTCGCATATTGCTATCGTACCCTTTTCACTTCACTGAGGACCGACAATGTTGAGATTCCGTGGCCAAGGTGTTATATAACGAGAGGATCACATGATGGTGTCTGCCACCTCCCTCGCTTTCTTGCCCGATCGACCTCATCAATGAAACCACCACAGCCAGACCCGTGATGTTGGCTCACGAACCTCGGTATTCAGGTTTAGCTTATCACACAGAATCCAGCCACAAACCATAAACAATATTGTATCTTTCATACGTGGACTAGGGAGATCACATCATTCCCTTCATCTCTTGCAACAGTTTGGTTTACTACAATAATACAGCCGGCGTATCATTTCATAAAATGTGTACATATTTTATATAATCGATTGTCGTATGCACATTTCTATGCATTTACCGTGAGCATAATGTATTTAAAATAATTGATGTGTCATTACATCGACATTTGATTTAAGCTGTAAGAACCCGATAAGCTATGAAGCTCTTTTTAACAGGTGGCCATGCCTGGCAACAACCTCCTTGATCCTTGTATCAGTCGAGCACGGGGTGATACGAACTTCGCTGTGATCATGGCAGTCGTGTTTTCAACTGGGAAAGAACGTGAGAAGTCATTTTGGAATTCAGTCTTAGCCGTGCAATTTTATGTAAACGTGACGGTTAATGATGACGTTTTTAAGCTGCTGCAGTATTGCATGTTTGTCGTAACTGCAACGTTAATCTTCACTAAATGTACCCGATCTATGTGCTGTGAAGAAGGGCCATTGGAGGGCCACGGTGTTATTGTCCAATGTGTTGAGTGTTTTGTTATTTGTGCCTGTCCACCACTGACAAACGCAGCATCACAAATAATTAGTTTTGTTGTTTAGTTCCATCTATTCATTTATATTAAATGATTGTTGAGTGAAGAGATGTGGATTTTCGTGTGTGTCTCTAAAATTAACCCACGTACTTCTTTTTAGAGCATGTAGCTGTCGCCACGTGGCTTCCCATCTCGGCTATCACCGACGTGAATATTATTGCCTATGACAGTAGTTCCCAAGTTGTGGTGCCGCGAGAAAAATGGTCCGTGGACGTGTGGCAGATGCCACGGTGTTGAAGAGTCGTGTTAATTTTGAACGACACCATCGGTGCACGGCGGTGGGGCGAACGCGTTTTGAAGGTTTGCGAATGACAGTCCGCGCGGGTCCACAAAGGTCGTGAACATCGCTCATTCACTACCGCCACCAGCGTGTGACATAGAGGGAGACCCCTTTGCGTTCCAGCGTGGCTCCATCACCATCGAGACCCGGAGCGATTTTTGTCACCGACCTCGGAAATGGAAAGAGGCGAGACAGGTTTGTAGTGAATATGAAGATGGAAAAACAACCGCGCAAACTTTCTGATGTCTACAATTTCTAATGAACACGCCGGAGTTACGATAGGTGTGTGCCCGTGTATTCAAATAGTCTTAATCGTTTCGTGGTTTATAAGCAGCAGCAGCAGTATCCGTGGTCAATTCATTGCTGGACGAAGATTTGAAGCTGTCTGGTCCTCCTCGCGTCTTGTTTCACGTTCACAAATACGCCGCGTGAAAGCCTCCGTTGTGCATCGTGAATAATAAAGATGGTTGGGAAAACATCGTCGCCACCGTAATTCATGATGTTGTTATCGGCACTGCAGAAGAAAAGGGAGTTCCAGACACCATGAAACACAAATTTCGAATGTTCCATTAAACAAAACAATCCTTAAGTCTTCAATGTTTAAATCCGAAACCCATTCTATAAACACAGATTCAGAAGAACGCTGACGGAAGAGTGGAACAAAGCGGATATCCATGGTGCACATCTCACACAAATATCTCACCCACCGGCTTTGACCTCTGGTCCATAATAGAGATTTTTTGGGGGGGTTAGATCGTGTAAAAATATAAATGTGTCGTCAAACCCGCTACCACCCGACACAGCCAACTAGTGAGGGCTGTCACGTAAACAGAACGTGGCCAATTCGTGACGAGCACAATGGGCAATATTTGTCGCGAAAAGCGTCCGCGTTAAATGTGACTGATGTTAACCATCAACCGCAATCAGAACATCAACACCGTGCACGGGCCGACGTTTCGGGCAACGACCCTTCATAAAAAAAAACCAGTGTGGGTATTGACGCACGTGTCGATATTATGTTAACGTGGTTGTTGTTGTTGTTGTTGTTGCGTTAATTAAATGCCCTTTGTGCAAGCCACTGCCAACGCAGCGGGCAGAGGTAATCCCGCAGGTGATTTGTCCATAATAGAGATGTTTTTGGGGTTAGATCGCGTAAATATATAAATGTGTCGTCAAACCCGCCACCACCCGACACAGCCAACTCGTAAGGGTTGTCACGTAAACAGAACGTGGCCAATTAGTCACCAGTACAGCACCACCTGGTAAGTTGGAGAGCCAAGCCACAACATTTACAATCTGAGTACGACGTTTCGCCAGTAATTACAACGAGCTTCATCAGGCGACAGCCAAATTTGTGGAGAAGTCCGCCTGTTTCGTTCCTCATATCGAGGCGTAGATGTGGTGACCACGCAGCTGTGTTCTTGTACAATGAGTGTTGGGGGGGGGTGTTACTGAGTCAAGGTACATTATGTAAGTGCATTATGCGAGCCCTTTGATCTTGTCCTTCCTAACTGTCGTGTATTAAAATAGCCGTACCAGGTGATTTGTTCATAATAAAGGCTTCTGGGTTAGATCGCGTAAGTGTCAATGTGTCGCAAGCCTCCACCACCCGACACGGCCAATTAGTCAAAACAAGTGTGTCACGTTAACAAAACGCGAATTACAGTGAGGGAAAAAAGCATTTGATCCCCTGCTGATTTTGTACGTTTGCCCACTGACAAATAAATTATCAGTCTATAATTTTAATGGTAGGTTTATTTGAACAGTGAGAGACAGAATAACAACAACAAAATCCAGAAAAACGCATGTGAAAAATGTTATAAATTGATTTGTGTGCGTGTTGTGTGTGTGTGTGGTGTGTATGGTGTGGGCGTTGTGTGTGTGGTGTGTGAATTCTAGACTTGAAGCTTTCGTGACTGCAAGGATTCATATTCTTAGGTTTTTTCGGTAAAGTCACGTAGGTAAAACATCAAAATTAATAAAAATAAAATAAAGATCACGACGTTTCGGAGGCAACACAAGTCTCCGTCATCAGGTGGGACCGTCACAGCCAGATTAGCTGCATCAAGTGAGGCAATGATTCAAGATGTAATCCCTTAAAAGCGAGTTGAGGTGGGAGGAGAGGGGGGGCTCATCAGAATGTGGTAGCCAATGAATGGAACGTATCGGGAGGGAGGGGGGCGGGGCCAAAAGGGTGGGCGACGGCGTGGAAGCGATTGTGCGCAAGCGACACACTGCTGCACACGCCAACGTCTTGGGCAGGGAGGGGGGAGGGGGAGGCCTGATACACATGATAGAAAATAACGAAAATGCCCATGTTTATACCAATGCTGGCTGAACAATGAAGAGATTACTGTTTAACAGTAACAGTAATCTCTTTACTGTTCTCTTCATTGTTCAGCCAGCATTGGTATAAACATGGGCATTTTCGTTATTTTCTATCATGTGTATCAGGCCTCCCCCTCCCCCCTCCCTGTCCAAGACGTTGGCGTGTGCAGCAGTGTGTCGCTTGCGCACAATCGCTTCCACGCCGTCGCCCACCCTTTTGGCCCCCCCCCTCCCTCCCGATACGTTCCATTCATTGGCTACCACATTCTGATGAGCCCCCCCCCCCTCTCCTCCCCCCTCAACTCGCTTTTAAGGGATTACATCTTGAATCATTGCCTCACTTGATGCAGCTAATCTGGCTGTGACGGTCCCACCTGATGACGGAGACTTGTGTTGCCTCCGAAATGTCGTGATCTTTATTTTATTTTTATTAATTTTGATGTTTTACCTACGTGACTTTACCGAAAAAACCTAAGAATATGGTGTGTGAATGTGGCGTGTGTGTGGTGTGTGTGTGTGGTGTGTGTGTGTGTGGCGTGTGTTGTGTGTGCGTGGTGTGTGTGTGTGGTGTGTGTGTGTTGTGTGCGTGGTGTGTGTGTGGTGTTTGTGTGTGTTGTGTGTGGGGTGTGTGTGTGCGTGGTGTGTGTGGTGTGTGTGTGTGTTGTGTGTGTTCGTGGTGTGTGTGTGTGTTGTGTGTGTGGTGTGTGGGGTGTGTGTTGTGTGTGTTCGTGGTGTGTGTTGGTGGTGTGTGTGTGGTGTGTGTGTGTGTGTGGTGTGTGTGTGTGTGTGTGGTGTGTGTGTGTTGTGTGCGTGGTGTGTGTTGTGTGTGTGGTGTGTGTGCGTGTGTGTGCGTGTGTGTGCGTGGTGTGCTGTGTGGTGTGTGTGTGGTGTGTGTGTGTGGTGTGTGTGTAGGGTGTGTGTGGGGTGAGTGTGTGTGTGCGTGGTGTGTGTGGTGTGTGTGGTGTGTGTGTGGGGTGTGTGTGCTGTGTGTGTAGTGTGTGTGTGTTGTGTGTGTGTGTGGTATGTGTGTTGTGTGTGTGCTGTGTGTGTGTGGTGTGTGTGTTGTGTGTGTGTGGTGAGTGTGGTGTGTGTGTGTGGTGTGTGTGGTGTGTGTGTGGTGTGTGTGTGCGTGGTGTGTGGTGTGCTGTGTGGTGTGTTTTGTGTGCGTGGTGTGTGTGTGTGGTGTGTGTGGTGTGCTGTGTGGTGTGTGTGGGGTGTGTGTGTGTGGTGTGTGTGGCGTGTGTTGTGTGTGCGTGGTGTGTGTGTGTGGTGTGTGTGTGTTGTGTGCGTGGGGTGGTGTGTGTGTGTGTGGGTGTGTGTGGTGTGTGTGTGTGTGTGTGTGTGTGTGTGTTGTGTGTGTGTGGTGTTGTGTGTGTGTGTGTGGGTGTGTGTGTGTGTGTTGTGGTGTGTGTGGTGTATGTGCGTGGTGTGTGTGTGTGGTGTGTGTGTGGTGTGTGGTGTGTGTGTGTGTTGTGTGCGTGGTGTGTGTGTTGTGTGTGTGGTGTGTGGTGTGTGTGCGTGTGTGTGCGTGGTGTGCTGTGTGGTGTGTGTGTGTGTGTGTGTGTGTGGTGTGTGTGTAGGGTGTGTGTGGGGTGTGTGTGTGTGTGCGTGGTGTGTGTGGTGTGTGTGGTGTGTGTGTGGGGTGTGTGTGCTGTGTGTGTAGTGTGTGTGTGTTGTGTGTGTGTGTGGTATGTGTGTTGTGTGTGTGCTGTGTGTGTGTGGTGTGTGTGTTGTGTGTGTGGTGAGTGTGGTGTGTGTGTGGTGTGTGTGTGTGTGTGTGGTGTGGTGTGTGGTGGTGTGTGTGTGCTGTGTGGTGTGTTTTGTGTGCGTGGTGTGTGTGTGTGGTGTGTGTGGTGTGTGTGTGGTGTGTGTGTTGTGTGCGTGGTGTGTGTGTTGTGTGTGTGGTGTGCTGTGTGGTGTGTGTGGTGTGCTGTGTGGTGTGTGTGTGTGTTGTGTGCGTGGTGTGCTGTGTGGTGTGTGTGTGGTGTGTGTGGTGTGTGTGTGTGGTGTGGTGTGTGGTGTGTGTGTGTGTGGTGTGTATGTGGTGTGTGTGTGGTGTGTGTGTGCTGTGTGTGTGTGTGTTGTGTGTGTGGTGTGTGTGGTGTGTGTGTGTGGTGTGTGTGGTGTGTGTTGTGTGTGTGTGGTGTGTGTGTGGTGTGTGTGCGTGGTGTGTGTGTGGTGTGTGTGTGCTGTGTGTGTGTGTGTTGTGTGTGTGGTGTGTGGTGTGTGTGTGTGTGTGGTGTGTGTGGTGTGCTGTGTGTGTGGTGTGTATGTGGTGTGTGTGTGTGGTGTGTGTGTGTGTGTGTGTGTGTGTGTGTGTGTGTGTGTGTGTGTGTGTGGTGTGTGTGGTGGTGTGTGTGGTGTGTGTGTGTGTGTGTGGTGTGTGTGTGTGTGTGTGCGTGGTGTGTGTGTGGTGTGTGTGTGCTGTGTGTGTGTGTGTTG